CGGAAGCCGAATCAGCTTCGTGGCCAACAGCCACGGTGTCTAGGACCTGGAGTAGGCCCTTATTCCCCTTTTTGAGGGTTCAGGTTCCGTTGTAAGCCCCTTTAAACCAGAAAGGGCACCCTTTTTAAGCCTTTTTATTCCTAGGATACTCTTGGGTCTAGGTGTCTGTCGCTACTTCAAGGACCGTGTCGCCGTCTACGGCCAGCGCGGTCGAGACCCACGTTTACATCCGCTGTACACCTGTATAGTCCCTAGGTAGCTATCAGCTGCTGTGTAATGTGCCGAGATGTCCGCAAATTTCCTGTGTTAACCATTCAGGCCCCTATGGTATGCGATTGCCCACACATTCCTTAGCAACCTTGATATCGCAAAGCTCACCGAAGACTTTTAAGGCCTGACAGAAACCCACTGTAAGACAAGAACATGCCGACAAATCACACAGAGGCCTACACGGCTAATGTATCAAGCTTAACCCACCCAAAGGCCCCACAGTAGTTCCTTTTTGTGGTTCATATTTAGAATCCTATAAGGTAATCCCAACAAGGAACTACTTTGGGGCCTATGGGTAACCCTAAACCATACAAAACCTGTTAGCGTGTCGGGAAGGCCGTGGACAGCCCGGTGTTCAGCGCGGGCGGCCTCGAACGCTTGCAGTTCCACTTCTACCCCAAGGGGTGTGTCCCGCGGACCTTTATTTGTCATCGGCACTCAGGGTTGCCATAATTTTTTTAGGGTTTAAGGGCGGTGTGAAAGGGGCTCGTAGGGTTTTAGGGTTTGGGTTTAGGCTCATGCGCAGTATTGCCACCCCCGGCTTTTCACACTTTTGTCATCTGTCGCGGGTGCGGGGGTGGAGGGGTGGGCCGGGGGGGTTGGAATTATGCCTTGGGCTAACTGTCACAGGGATCCTCATCCCTGAACCCCTGACTTCGGGGTTGCACTGACTTCGGAGTTGCAGCAAGCTTCAGGTTTCGGGTTGTTCACTGCTTGTGCTTCGTTACGAACTTCTCGGACTTCTGGGCGGGCTGGGGCGGGGTTTTGACGTCGGGAGTGCAGTGGTGCCGACGAACGAAGCATATTATGTCTTTGCAAACGGTTATGATTACCGTGCATGGAGTCTGTGTGTGGATCCATGAACATAACATTTGGGCAGGTGTGTCATGCCCGGTCGATTTGGTTTACGCGCATGACCTGCTAGAAAATCCTAAACATGCAGTTTCGAATCTGAAACCAGCGTAAATCCCGAACTGTCATCCCTCTCATCAGTGAGCGACCTAGATTTGGTGCTTTTGCTGGAGTTCGAGATTTAGCCTGAAAGATGGGCAAGAAAACGCCTCAGTTTGACACTGCAAAAATGTGTATATGTATTTACAAACAGATAGATAGGTAGGTAGATAGATAGTACACCTGGAAAACCAAGCAGTCAGACCCTAACCGCAAATCCTAAACCTCCATTCTGAGTTCTGCCCTTCGAAGTTCCCAAACCCTAAAACCTTGACGAAAGCCATATTACAGATCCCCAATAGAAGACTTATTAAAAATCCTTCAAACTAGAACCTAGAGTAGGCCCTTATTCCCATCATTTAGGGTTCAGGTTCCCATATAAACCCCTTTTAAGCCAACAAGGGCACCCTTTTGATTCCTAGGTTTCGCTAGGGTTTAGCAAAGCCACCAAGGCCCGAATGGGTTTCGGGTTTAGGGCCCTTCCGAACCCAAAGATTCTAATTTGGGAGTTTCCGAAAACAGGGGACCCTAATGTAGTACCCTAAATAGTAGGATCCTTATTATAAGGACCCCAAAATAAGGTACCCTAATTTTCGGCAACTCCCGTTTCCCTTGATGAAGGAAAATGCCTTAAATTCCAGTAGGGTCCTTCATGTGATTCAAGGAATATGCCTTAAATTCTACTAGGGTCCTTAATATGTCTTAAGGAATTTAAGGAGTATTCCTTAATTCAAGGATAGTGGAGTCCCTGGGAAGCTTCTTTCAAAGCCCTTAAGTCCAAGGAGCCCGTGGGTGGGGCAATCTCTCCGTGCTCACTGTTCATCAGCGGCCCAGACAAGGGCGCTTCTGTTCGAGGCGTCGAAGAGGGCTTCTAGGATTTAGGGAGTTTGGTTGCTTTAGGGTTTAGGGATTAAGGCTGCGCTTCTCTTGGGTGTTTTCGTGTCTTAAGCTTGCATAAGGTTCAGCGTGTCTTTTGAGGGCAGGCCCTGGATTTCATTTGAGGAGGGCTCCCTCTTTCTCGGCAGCACAACTTATCTCCACAGCTTATCGTAAGTTTACGGCCTCTACATTACATTGCGTTCATGTTTGGCCTCCGGTCAGGGGGGTCTGGATTCGTGGAATTATTTTTGCCAGTATACTGAAATTGAATTGTGCAAGAACACTCCGACTCCCACCAAAAACAAATAAGCTTAGGAATCTTATGAAGGACCTTGCTTGCACGAGACACCTGAATAGCAAACCGTCGATATTGGTAAGGGCTTCTAGTCAGGGATTTAGTTGAAACGGTCTGGAAGCAGAGTGGTGTATCAATCAGGGGTTTTCATATAATAAATAGGTTTCCAGGTGGGCCCATTTTCGCGTTTTGTGGTCCCTAGGTTCCGTTTAACTTATAAAGCTACCCGATACCAAAAAAGGGAGCCCTTTCTATTCCTATATTCTTCGGGGTCCTAGATAAGATAATTCAGCAACTATCCAAGATGGTGCCTCTGCCTAAATCCTAATCTAGCCCTAATGAGCAAGGTGAGGTGCCAATGATTCTTTAAGAAACCCCTAAACCCCAAACCTGAAACCCTAAAACCCTTAACCCTTAATCCTAAACCCTAAAGCCTGAACCCATACACCCTAAAACCCTAAACCCGCGGAGGTGTTCTCTGGGTGGGCACCAACGGACGCCAGTTCGAGCATCGCTTCGGTAAGCGCGGAGATATGGGCGGCCGGCCGAGGCAAGGGGCAAGGGTTTCATACAGTTTTTTTTTTGCCGGGTTTCATACAGGGTTTGGGTTTTAGGGGTTTTAAGGGTTTAGTGCTTAGGGTTTTAGGGGTTCAGGGTTTAGGCTAGGGGTTTGGGGGTTAGGGTCTAGGGTTTCGGCGGGCTTGTATAGGGTTTTGCAGAGGTGTAGAAGGTTGCTAAAAGAGGGAGTTGGAAACGGGCCTCAGATGGCTTCAAGGTAGCTTATGACAATGAGGGTGGTATAGTGGGTTCACATAGCTTGTATCGACTTTTGTTGCACTGCTGTTGTTGGCCACTGTTGTTGATATAAATCCTGCATTACCTTGCTGACCCTGGACTATCAGAATTATGGTATTTTTTATCATGGGTAATACAGGATTTATATCATCGACCGTAAGGGGTGACAAGAGTTCCCAAGGTCGGAGGTCGGAGAAGGCATACAGTAAAAGCCCAAAAGTTGGAAACCCCATAGCCTCAGGTAATCCCAGCACTATTTGTCCTTAAACAGGTTTCCAACTTTCTTGGGTTTACTATAGGTTTAGGGCTGATAAGGATGTGGAATCAACATCGTGTCGGAGCGGTCTTGAATAGAGTTATAGACTAATGTGGACACAGTACGAACTGAATGAGTGAGCTACGGTATAAATTGGCTTTCGGGCGACACACACTAGCGAGACCGTAACCGGAATTCCGAGATTTAGGGGTTTAGGGTTTGAAAGCTTGAGCCGAGGTGTAATCCTGGAGCTTTTTTTTTGGGTTTGGGCATGGAGCGCTTTGAGTTTCGTTTATACGATTATCCTGTGCTCTATCACGATTACACCAAACCATATTGTCAGAGATACGACCTCTTGCAAAGGGTTCGGAAAGTAGACTCGGCCAACCCATGACCAGGGTTCGCATCATCAGATCCAAGCTCCTTGACCTCGAGCGAGTGCTTTCAAGCGTCTGTGTTTAGCTGTAGTATGGGTTGAAAGCTTAGGGGTGAAAGGTTGTGGGTTTTAGAGGACCCTTAGTAATGGTAACGCTTCGCTATGTTACTCCTGTGTACTAAAACATTGCGTGCCACTCCCTCTCTCTCTCTCTCTGTCTCGCTGTCTCTGTCCGTCTCCGTTGCCGTGGCTGGTTCGCACGCATCAGCGGCACTCGTTCTTCTGTGGGCCTGTTCTAAACACTAAACCCTACATCCGAAACCCTAAACCCTCGCTCCTAAACCCTAAAACCCTAAACCCTAACTGAAGCCTACCTATAGTCTCCATTGTAGTTCCTTTTGGGGTTTACCTTTTAGGATCCTTAATACAAAAGTTGGTTAAACCAAAACAGGGACTACTTTGGGGCCTCTGTGTTAGAAGCTGCCCCCACCCTGTAATAGTGGTATACTAGGACTATAATAGGGCCCTAATATAATCCTATATAATCCTTATGGTCATTATTACAGGGTGGGGGCAGCTTCTAACCTCTGGGTACATCCTAACTCAGCCGATGACAGCTGGAGGTTTTGTGCCCTGGAGCAGCTGTTAGATCCTGCGGACTGGGCTCCTCGACCTCCAGGAATCTGGGGCCCAGAGACTCCAATATCCCTTAATTAAGGAATATACCTTAAAACATATTAGGGATCCTGCTATATTTTAAGGTATATTCCTTAATTAAGGGACATTGGAGTCTCTGGGTTCTGGGGGTAATCCTAAAGTTCAGGATAACCCACGAAAGGGTTGGGGGCTTTAGGGTTTACATAGGGTTTACATAGTAGGGTTGGCCTAGGGTTTACGTAGGGTTCAGCGGTCTAGGGGTCTTGGGCTTTGAGGGCTTAGGGCAACCCCACGGAAGGGTTTAGGGTTCAGGGTTTAGCGGTTCTTGGCTTAGGAGTCTAAGGTTCAAGGTTTAGGGGCCGTGTAGACACCTCACGAGGGGCATAGGATGTTCGGGGCTTGGGGTTTAGGGTCTAGGGTTTGAAAGTGCTGGCAGCTGATGTAGCGACTTCGTCCAAGCTTCGCGTGGAAAGGCGTGAGGCTTCAGTTTAGGCACCAGAATGGCTCGGAATCTATCGGAGCTACGCAATGCCCTCTGAGCCCCCACTCGGAGGCCTTTTGATCCTCGCAATAGCTGCCGTATGCTCGATGTACCTGCAACGGAGGAGAGCAACAAGTGTGGAAACTTGCATGCCCCCCTCTCCCTCCTTCCAAGCTTCTACGTCTCCTTAGGAGACTCGCACTTATGGCTGCTTGGTTGGAGATCGAGTTTGGATCGCTCTTGCGGAATATCACCCCTTAAGTCCGAATGGTTTTCAGAAGCTTTAGCTGTGCTTTGTAGGGGTAGTAGACCGAGATCCTTCCGGCGTCTAGCTGACATCATGGCCTCGTCTTCCACGAGACGCCAGCAATGTCCCATCTTGTAGTAGAGCTCGTACTCTCTGTAGCCCCCTGCCTTGGTCAGACTGTTGGCTAATTGGGCTTCGCTGTGGACCCATCTTAGGTTCACCCCGGTGTTCTGCTGGGACTCTTTCACGGCCAACAACTCTATGCTGGTTCGTTTCTCCGCACCCTTCACCACCAAGACTTCGGTCTCTAGCTTGTCGTAGACATTCCTGCTGTCCGTCACCACGCAACCGCCGGTTCGGCGAACGTGGCTGTCTGGGCAGTGTAGGTCAGGTCGCCCGTAAAGAAGTTCGCTCCACTGGAAGCGAGCTGCGTAGAGGCTGTCCTCGCCGTTGACAGTTGCTTGGGATTCACTGGCTCCAGGAGAACGGCAGGCTCTGTCGATCTTTTGCGAAGTCCACGAAATGGGGCTCACCCCCTCCACTGCTCCAGAGAGCAGCTTGGTTGATGACATGCCAATGAAGATGCCCTGGGTCGACCCCCCGTCGATGCGGTTTCCCTGGGCTGCGTCCACCCAGGCAATGAGGGTGAGGTGGTCAGTCTCCTTGAAGCTGTGAATCTTCATGATGTGGTCCTGCTTGTGTTTTGCTGTCGCCAGTAGGATGTTCGCCTTCACGATGGTCTCCACGGTGGATCTGGATACCTCAGTTAGTAACAGTCCTACTTCGGCTGCGAGGTAGGGCGCGACTTGCTGGGCGTGCCAGCTGATTCCTCCTAACAGAGCACGAAGTTGGGATTTCTCCTTGTCTGAGGTGGGTTGTGTACGATCCTTGCGGCGGGTGGCGTTGATTCCAATCTCCTGGAGGTTGTCAAGGTAAGTGGGCTGGGATAATTCAAAGCCTTCGGGTTTCTGTTCAATGATCACTCCACATTGCGTGAATTTGTTCTGTTCCCAGTCTCCCCACTTAAACTGTTCTTTGATGGCCTTGACCTTGGATTCCCACAGACTATCCCCATCCTTACCACAAAACAGAAAATCATCAACGTGTCCACTGATGGCCCCTCTCAAAACCCCTTTCTCTCTCAAGACCCAGCAGCACGCATCGGACCACAACCTTTCGAACCCTAAGGAGCGCAAGAAAGTGTCAACTGACCTGTACCACTCCAAAGGAGCGTCCACCAAGCCGTAACAAGCTCTTTTTACTCGCGTTACGCTTCCAATGGGGATCCCTAGTGATTCGCAAATCTCTGGACAAGGGATACAGAAAAGCTGGTCGGGGTACTGGCGACTTTGTAAGAAGGCTCCCGTGACGTCCCCTTTTTGCACTCTCCACCTTTTCCAGGCTGAGAGCTGTAGGAGGAGTTGACGTGTAGTCCTCGTCATAACCGGCGATGTGGTAGCACGGTGTTCGTAGCCTTCGTCTTGGTAGCCTAAGAGCACTGCGCGAGCCTTTGGTTTTCGGCTTCCGTCTTCCTTCAGCTTCCAAGTGAGAATCCACCTCATACCGATAGCCTGTGATTTGTCCGGCTGGAGGTGGCTAGGGAGGATCTCGAAGGCCTTGGATGCCACAAAGTTCTTTACCTCTATGGCTTTGGCTCCCTGGAATGCGGCTTTCTCGTCTGGGCTCATCCTTCGCTCTGACAGTTCCACTGCACGACGTCGCATACTTCCCACAAAATAGCTGGGTAGGTCCCGAAGGGCCTGCTGTTTTCCTCTCTGGCTTTGTGGAAAGGATATCTCGATCTCCACTGCTGCCTCAGGGTTACTCCAGTAACTGGCCTGTTGATCAGGCCACTTGTCCTCGGCAACAGTTGTCCACCAAGCGGCGGGGAGATCTGCAGAAAGGGCGGCGCTGCTTGCATCCCGGCCTCGTGATCGGGATCGCTCGCGTGGCCCTGGAATTTCCAGGGCGGGCTCCTCTTCCATGGCCTCCACCTGGGGACCGTCTGAGGATGATGCGGCGGGTGGTGGTCGCTTCCCTCGTAGACGCTGTCGTGATGGCTGGACCTCTTCTTCGGCCCTCTGGGCACGCTGCCACTCTGCCAAGGGTGGAAGATCAGAAGAAAGATCCTCGAAGCGGTTTCCCCCGATCTGCTCAGCAACGGTCTGGAAAGTCCAGGGGGTGGCTCCTTCGGTGGTGGAGGCCAGAGCTTCCACCAGTTCCTCTCGGTCTGTCGCTCTGCGCAACTGCTCGGGTGCGCACTTCAGAAGGCTCCTTCCCTTGACCAACCAAACGGAACCGCCTGGCCGGATGTTTCCGGCCTCGTCTCTGCGGGACTCGGTGGCCAGGATGCGAGCCGGTCCCAAAAACCTTCCATGCTTGCCTCCAGGTTGTCTTCGTCCTTTGTTGGAGTCCTGCGTCCTCCAATAGTACACCAGTTCGCCAGGGACGTAGTCGTAGCACGGGCGGTGTCGCGAGTGCTTTGCTCGCATGAGCCGTTGGCCCGCTGTCCACTCTGCCAAGGCTTTCTCTGCCTCAGCTCGGAGTTGTACTCCTCTTTGGAACTCGCCACTGGGATTCTCCACTGCAAGCTGGGGGTGTGCATGAGGACTGCCGGCTATAAAACGGCCTGTCTCATCTGGCGCCATTCCCAATATGTGTTGAGCAGGGGAGAAACCTCTGATGAGCTCCCGGTGGTTGAAAGCATGCACTGCCTCGGCCAAGGCCTCCTGTGGTGTGATCTCGGGGTCGTAGTGGCTAAGCTTGGACATGACATCCTTGACGCCTTTCACAGCGTTCTCCACGGTCCCTATTTTCCAATGGGCTTCTCCAGGGACTATGTCCAAGTGAACAGAATACTTATCACACCATGCTTCCACTGCGGCACTCCGGAATGCGCCTGCGGGGTCCAACCGCAAAGCCCGAGGATGACCAAAGTACTGAACCCATCCCTCTTGCAAGTACGACAGACAATCCTGAGCATTGGGGGCTTGCTTCGAGCCCGAACTGAGGATGCGCGCGGTACGAAACCGCGACCCCTCATCAACGATGATCATGAATTGGTAACTTTCCTCCGTGTGAGGGTGCACCCAATGTCCTATATCCGCTCCTATGGTGTACAGTTTCGGAGGAAGAGGCTCCAGAGCAGCAAGGTTCCTAGGGGGTGGTCTTTGCTTTTCCTTGCACACATCACAAGTAAACTCTTCGGCAAGTTGGAGGGTCCTACCGTCAACCCCACGACGCTTGAGGGCCTGGATCATATGTTTAGGATGACTGTGTCCGGTGGCACAATGCAACAAGTACAGCCTTCTCCTAATGCGCTCGTCTTCTTTCCTACGCTCTCGGGTGAGGGCTTCGGCAGGGTAGGCGGATTGTTTGGTCTGACGTGGCACGGGGAATCCTAACTTCTTAAGTTCCTCAACCTCATCATCCGAAACATGATCCCAACCTCGACTCACAAAGACCGTGATCACCCATCGATCTCCCTCCCACGGACATGATCCATGCCACTGTTTAGGCGAAAACACCACAGGCTTACCTTTGACATCATATTCCATGCCCTGAATCTCATGACCTTGACTACCAACCTTCTTCACAACTTTTCCAGTCCTACCACAAATGGAACTTTCTCCCTCAACCCACAACTCGCCTCCAACGTAATCCCCGAAACCCACACTGCCGTTGGGGTGCTGCTCCGCATTGTTCACGTCCCGGTGGATGGGCATCATAGTACCATGGTTGATGGCAAAGGAGGTCCACTTAAGGTCTTTTGGGAAGATTCTCCGGAGGGTCGTGTTCACCAACTTACACATTTCCGGAAGGGTTTTGGTTCTCACCGTGTTACCATAGTGGTTCCCAAACGCGTACGTACCAAACACCTGGTAGTTGTTTCGAGCTTCCTGGTCTCTACGGGAGTGGCCAAGGTTTCGAAGAGGGTGTTCTTGGAGGACTTGTTGCAGGCTTTTGAGGTCAGGTCCTGGGTTTTGGATTCGACACTGCTTGGCGGCGGTTTCGAGACTACTCACGGCTTGGGTGCTGAGGTAGGCTTGGCTTGAGGTCTGGGGCTCACTACTGCGGGAGGCTTTGGGCTGTTCTTGGATAGGCTTGTTGGCTTCCTGTTCTCTCCATTCGCAACAACCACAAGGCTTTTGGCTGGGCTTGTCACTACACGCACAGCTCAAACCCAAACCGAATGACTCCGGCAATCCTGAAATTCCCTGACACTCTTCCACAATCCCTTGAAAATCTCCCTCCCGACTCAAAGCTTCAAACACCAGTCTTCGGAACTCAGCGGTGTATCGAGAGGAGTTTCGGGCATTGTTCCCAGTACATCTACCATGCTCATAATTCGTGGGGCAAGGGCAGGTCTTATGGAGTTTCAAGGACAACCTACGGTGTGACGTCACAAGCCTCCAACCCTTCTGAAGAAGCTTCCCATTGCTCCCTTTTAAACCCACAGCGCACCCTTTAGTGACACACGTGTACAACCCGCTATTGAGCCGCAACCTTTGAAGAATTGGCAGTCTCCACGCTTCACTCTTCTCTCCAAGCTCAAGCGTAACATGTATCCCGTTCTGCACACATGTTTTTGTGATTTCCTCAGCGTTCTCATAGATCCTAGTGGCAAGAGCTCGCTTGGCCTTTAGGTCTCGGACCTGGGTAGGATTCTTTTGGTTGAGGGTTTGGAGACTACTGAAGGCTTCCCCAGGGAGGGCAATCCAGACATGTTTGGGCCTAGTGCATCTTATCTGCTCTATGATCATCGCGAGACCTTCTGGCGTAGACATGTCCAGCCCGCTCCACAGCGCGCTTCTACAGGCACTGTCACTTCGGCCCGTCCTTGTTCTAAACTCTTCAGTCAGCAGTCCATCACTTTCACACGAAATCTCAAACAACTCCATGCGCGACTGACCTAGGAGTTCTCCAAACAAATCCGGAACTACCAACTGGGACTTGTGTTCCAAAGCTTTGCTCGCAACAAAACTCAAGCCCTGTCCTGATTCGGCTCCATGTCCTCGTCCGCCTTCGCTGCCATCTTCCGGGGTTTCTCGCCCTTCTCGGACTTCAGCGTCTGCACCTCCTGGGCCAGTGTCGCAACCATCTGCGTCAGCTGGTGGACCATCTGTTCCATGGACCCCGTACTCGCACTGGCTGCCTCCTTGAGTTCGGGTGAGGAGGCTGTGGATGTCGTCGGCGGTGTCGGCGTCTTCTCCTTCTTGGCGGTACCCTTCTGGCCCTTGAAGTCGTTCATGTCCACCTTCTCCTTCTTCACTGGCACAGGAACACGGTCCTCCTCTTCCAGCCACGTGGCGAAGCGGGAGAGGTACATTGAGCAACCGCCTTCCTTGGCTGTAGTCCGCACCCATTGACAGTACTGGCTGTCGAATCGCTTGACGTGCTCGTAGGTCTGGTTCGCGTATTGGCCGAAACCCAGCCGGTCGCTGGACACCGGTTCCACACTCGAGATCAAGTGCTTCATCGCTTTTTCCTTGAGGATCGCAATGGTCTCGTTCCCGGAGATCTTGATGCCGAGGTCCTGGACATAGCCCTGCAAGGTGACCTTCTTCCCTGATGCACGGTTCAGGTCGCCCACGGCGGTCTCCAACGGGGTTTTCTGTTTCCCCGTGGTTGGCGGTGTGATCTCGCCCTTGTCGGCCAACTCCTTGAGGCGGCCCATCAACTCCACTCGCGTCCACGACTCCGGGGGAGTCTCGCCGTAAGCCTTCAGGCTCAGCACCAAGGCGGGGCGGGTCATCTTGTCCATGTTGCTCAGGGCGTGCGCAAACTTGGGGTTCGCTAAGTTCTGAGCCGGGATCACTGCCATGCGCACAGTCATGTTGATGCTCTGCTTGCGCGGATACGTTGACAGCTCTGCTCACACAGCTGCACTCAGCATCAGCTTCAGCTTCTGAAAAACTCACCCTACGGACAATAGCACTATCTCGAACAACCCTTTCCCCAGAGCGATCCAAGCTGCTATTGTTCTTCAAACACCCCTTCCCTGATAACTGCGGTTCACCCTTCCTCTTTCCGTCAGGGGCGAAAAGTGGAAGGAGCTGTCCCTAATGCGGCATGTAGGACAACAGACCTGGGATGGCTTGCTCAACACGAGTGGCGTTGCTCATCCAGTCGTCTGTGAGGGACAACAATTGGTGACCTGAACTACCTCGGACCAAATGTACAAGGCGGTGGGGGTCCAATGCTCGAAAAACTGCTACATCTGCTTCAAAATCTATGACAGCTTTCAGAGACCTCAGCGTCTGGATGCTGAGGAGAATTGGCGCTTCTCCTCCCTCGAGCGTGTGCACCTTCAACTCGCCGGGGTTGCCGTTCGCCTGGACGTGGATCGAGGCGGTGCTGAGGCATTTGTTCTCCGTGGAGTTCCCAAAGGTGAACGTTGGAGGCTCGTCCTTGCTGAGGCCTTTGAGGCCGCTGCTGCCATGTTTCACACGGTTGTGGTGGAGGACTGCTTCTAAGGCTGCGACGCTTCCGATCGTCTGTGTGGCGCCACCATCCACCACAGCAAAGCCACGGAGGACAGCTTCCCGAGTAGAGAGTCCGGGCTCTCCACCTGAGAGCTCTGCTTGAAAACTCTCTTCCTCAACGTAGCCCACGAAGTGGTCCGGTGTCGGGATCTCCTCGGCGCGGTGGTCGGTATAGCACACGAACGGAGCATGCTGGCGGTCATCGTCGTTGGCGAGGTGGGCCTGATTTGGTCCATCTCCGATGGGCTTGTGCGGGCAATTGGCTGCCCTGTGCCCTTTCTTTCCGCACCTCAAGCAGTCTAAGTTGCTATCATCACGTGGTCGTGCCGAGCTTGTAGAGGAGGAGGTGGTTGAGGATCGCGCACCTGAGTGGCCCACGCTTTGAAAGTACTTTCGGTTCTGCTTCACCTGGTGTTGTCGCTGGCGGGCATCCCGTAGGGTTCGTCGGGCAGTCTGGATGGCTGCCATTGCACTCTCCGCTTCCTCCTCAGCTATGCTGACGAGTGCAAAGCCTTCGTCATTGAGGACGCCGTCATACTCCTCAATGGTGGTGGTGTCCCCGTCCTCGTCTTCTCCATCCTCACCGTCCCACGCTTCTCCCAAGTAGCTCTGGTGCCTGCGTCCTTGGTCTCGACGTCGCACCTCGGACTCTGAGAACTGGTTCCGCAATTCCTGGGCGACTCTCAAAGGAGTGAAGTTGCCATTCAGCCCTGTGATGACCAGGTTGCGCTCGTGAGAGTCCAGGGAGGCGTCTGCCAGCAAGTACCATCCTTGGATGAACGGAGGCAGAAGGTCTTGGGACGCTCGTTCCTCCTCCACGGTGGAGGTGGAAGCACTTCCACTTCCTCTGGAGCTGTAGTAGTCGTTGCCGTAGTTCCAGGAAGTCTGCCACGACCATGATCCTGGGTACCAGGTTGGTGCCCACCATTCGTGGTTAGACCCTTGCCACCAGGAATTCGTAGTAGGCGCCGTGGTCTCGGTCTCCTCCGTGGGCGCCTCGGTCTCCTCGGTGGCGGCGGTCTGCTCTACTTCACTGGCGGGGGTCCACTGCCGTCCCCATGATCTGAATGATCCATCCCCGCTGTGGCGCCTCCATGGTTGCCTGTCGACCTTCACACTGGGCTCATAGAAAGGTTGAACCCTCTTCAACGCTTGGCAAGCACGCATGTAGGCCTCGGTCTTCCGGGTGACGTAATCATTCATGCTCTCCTGGGGACGTCTTTTTGTGCCCTTGAAGTAGGCTGCGAGGAGGTCGGTGACTTCATTGACTCGGGGTTTCCCGAGCCCTTGCCGTAGGTGGTCCATCAGGACCCGAACTCCTCCTCGGTAGGCTACCCATCCTGGCGGCTGACCAGATACCAACCTTTTGGCGGCACCTGTTAGCTCCTGCACCAACTTTGGACCAGCTGTGTACCTCTTCTCCCAGGTCAAGCTCTGCTCCCACAGGAGCGCTGTCTCCTCGTACTGGGTGAAGAGGCTGGCTTCGCCGGACCATGTTGGCACTCCGTCTTTAGTTCTCCCCACAGTCGCTGTGGCGCTCTCGCTCGCTGCAGCACTCATCGTATCTTTGATTTTCCCCAATCAAAGCCGGTGTTGGCCCTGGATCACTGATGAGCCTTCCTCAGAAGGCTCCGCTACCATGAAAGTGCTGGCAGCTGATGTAGCGACTTCGTCCAAGCTTCGCGTGGAAAGGCGTGAGGCTTCAGTTTAGGCACCAGAATGGCTCGGAATCTATCGGAGCTACGCAATGCCCTCTGAGCCCCCACTCGGAGGCCTTTTGATCCTCGCAATAGCTGCCGTATGCTCGATGTACCTGCAACGGAGGAGAGCAACAAGTGTGGAAACTTGCAGGGTTTAGGGTCTAGGGTTTAGGGTCTCGGGTTCAGGGTCTCGGGTTCAGGGTTCAGGGTTTAGGGTCTAGGGTTTAGGGTTCAGGGTCTCGGGTTCAGGGTTTAGGGTCTAGGGTTTAGGGTCTAGGGTTTAGGGTCTCGGGTTCAGGGTCTCGGGTTCAGGGTTCAGGGTTTAGGGTCTAGGGTTTAGGGTCTAGGGTTTAGGGTCTCGGGTTCAGGGTCTCGGGTTCAGGGTTCAGGGTTTAGGGTCTAGGGTTTGGGGTCTAGGGTTTGGGGTCTAGGGTTTGGGGTTAACCTAAACCGAGCTTTGAACTGTGAACCCTGGAGTTGTGCACTTTGGATTTCAGGGTTCTGTGTGGTGCTTGAGGTTATGCCTACGCTAAGCCGTCAGCGCTGAACCCAAACCCCTGCGCCTATACCCTAAACTGTTCCCAGATTGGGGCTTTTCAAGCAGATCGTGCCGAGAGTTCGAGGGTT